ATGAGACCTTGTTCCTGTTCTCAATTTTAGTTTAAGCATTGAATCGATCAAAATGGTTATTTTGCCGAGACTGCTGTATCTCTTCCAGTCCCTTTCACTAGAACTATCTAACCAACAATTTCAGGAGCGGGATAAACATATCTCAAGGTACATTTGGCAGGGACGAAGGCCAAGATTTAAATATCAGAGTTTACAATTGGCTAAAAACAAGGGTGGTGTCGCACTCCCATGTTTAAAGGATTACTATATTGCGGCTCAATTGATACCATTAATATGCTGGTGCAATCCAAAGTACATTGCTAGATGGAAGGAGATTGAGAGTGCTGTATCAGAATTAATTTCCTATTCAAGCTGCAATTGGGGATAAGGTCTTGATGAATAAACTAAACAAACTGAGAAACCCATGGATCAGTCTGTCATTTAAGGTGTGGAACATACTGGTAACTCAAAATCACTTGAGGGAAGCTGTAAAGGGTTTAAGATGGTGTGTGTGTATGATCTAAAATGTGTACCTGGAAGATGGGATGCAAGATTTATGTTTTGGTCTTCAAAAGGCCTGACAGCCTACTGCACATATTTTCTCAAGGGGTCCATGAACAGCTTTCAGAATCTGAAGGGGCAGTTTGACTTGAAACGTGATGATTTTTACAGGTTCCTTCAAGTTTGTCATTACATCAATCAAATACACAAGTTTTACAAAAGGTTTTTTTCAGGTAGACATTTCATTTAAATTTGAATCGTTATATTTGGGTGCTTTACCACCAGACATGTTTTCCTCTAAAGATAAATATATATATTTTTGACTCCTGCTTAAAACCAGGAAACCTACTTTGGATGAGTGGATTGACATTGTGTATGATATTTTTAAGATGGAAAGGATAACCCTTGCTTTGAGATTGCAAAAGGGAATCTTTTTGTCAATATGGGAAAAATGGATAATCTGTTACACCAATACGACCATCATTTGTCTAGAAGGGATCTTTATATCTTTTTTGTATTTTTTTTTTTCTTTGAATAAGTTCCAGGTACACCCCATAACCCTGTTTGTACTGTATATCATGTTATAGCATATTTGAAGGTCAGTGAGGCCTGCCTCTGTATTACCCACAAATATGTAAGTTGGATTTGTGATTTCACTGTTAACTACAGAAGGCTTACAGAGAATATTGCATTATCTATGACTGTATACATCTGAAAAGCTAAATAAAATAAAAACTCTTTATTTTTCTCATACTGCCTCTGCTGCAGCACCTATTTGAACCCTCTGTCTGAAACCAGAGCCTTGGTCATAATTCTAAGAAAAATGTGGAAAAAGAAGAATCCAATTCTGTTGAAAAGATAAGAATTCGGAGAAAAAAAGTCAAAATTCAGATTGATTTTTTAAAGACAAAATTATGATTCAAAAACATTTAAATTCTTAGAGTTTGGAAAAATCTCAATACTGTAATTCTGAAACATGTAAATATAAAATATATTTAAAAAAAATGTTATATCCTAATTCAGAAAAAAATCTGAATGCTGAGAAAAAAGTCAGAAAAGATTGCAGTCAAATCAAAAAGCAATGTATTATGAAAAAAAATACAATAGTAGATATGATATGTTTTATAATGATTGATCATTAAAGTGTTCTCAAAGCTGGTGAAGGTGCAGCTAGTTTGAATGACTTTGTATACTGCAGGGTAGCTTGTGAATTTACTCCAGGTGGAACTAAAGTCTGATTTAAGACTTGATTATATTTCACATCATTCATCCACATCTGTAAAGTAACTCAATGTATTAAATACATGTAGTGGAGTAGAAGTACACCATTTACCTCTGAGTTATAGTGGAGTAGAAGTACTAAGTAGCATAAAATGGTTGTACTATATATTAAAAATAATCAAATTCTGATGATAAATATAATAAAGTAAAAAAAATGTGATAATAATACAATTTGAAAAAGTAAAAAAATTACAGTTTTGGGGAAAAAGTAAAAATCATGAGAAACAGTAAGTATTATGAAAAAATATACTATATTATGAAAAAAGTCGCAATTCCGAAAAAAATATATTATGAAAAAGTGAGAATTCTGGAAAAAGTCAAAATAATGAGAAAGTCAGCATTCTGAAAATAAACAATTACTTCTGAAAAATGTAGCGAATCAGATAAAACATTCTGAAAAAATTGTGAAAATATGGAGAAAAATCTGATTTAAATTCAAAAAAGAAAGAAATTCAGAAATCTGAAAAAAAAATTGAGAATTCATAAATAAGGTCAGATTTTGAGTTTTTTTAACTAAAGTCTTTGAAATAAAAGAAAACATCAAATTTGATGAGTATGATTTGGTCATATGAAAATAAATGGGCTTGTTTTATTTGTGTAGGTCTCTGCACCAAGGCCTCTCACTGACTCTTTCTCTTGCTGAATATTTTAGGAACTGAGAAGAAGAAGAAAGCAAACCGAACCTCACATCTGTGACCAGTGTAACAAATCCTACTCAACATCTAGAACTTTAAAGATTCATCTGCGCATTCACACTGGAGAGAAACCCTACAGCTGTGACCAGTGTGGGAAAACCTTTTCTAAGAAAAGCATTCTTTCATCTCATCAGCGCATTCACACTGGAGAGAAACCATACAGATGTGACCTGTGTGGGAAAACCTTTGCTCAGAAATGGCACCTTTCATCTCATCAGAGCATTCACACTAGAGAGAAACCACACAGCTGTGATCAGTGTGGCACAACCTTTTCTAAGAAAAGTAGCCTTTCATCTCATCAGCGCATTCACACTGGAGAGAAACCATACAGCTGTGACCAATGTGGGAAAACGTTTTCTCTAAAAGGTTACCTGCAAAACCCACCAGCGAATCCACACTGGAGAGAAACCACACAGCTGTGAAGAGTGTGGGAAAAGTTTCACTACATCAAGTAAACTCACAGTCCATCAACGTATTCACACGGGAGAGAAACCATACTGGTGTGAAGAGTGTGGAAAAACGTTCATTTCATCAGGTGAGCTCACAATCCACCATCGTATTCACACAGGAGAGAAACCATACTGGTGTGAAGAGTGTGGGAAAACGTTCACTACATCAGGTGATCTCAAAAAACATAATCGTTATCACACAGGAGAGAAACCATACTGCTGTGACCAGTGTGGAAAAACTTTCACTATATCAGGTGATCTCAAAAAACATCATCGTATTCACACAGGAGAGAAACCATACAGGTGTCAAGAGTGTGGAAAAACCTTTTCTCATGGTAGTAATCTTAAAGCCCACAAACGCACTCACACTGCAGAGAAACCATTTAGCTGTGACCAGTGTGGGAAAGCTTTCACAAGATCTGATCATCTTAAAGTCCACCAGCGCACTCACTCTGCATCCATCTGATCCTTTTCTGAGTCAAGCTAGCATTCCTCCTGATTTTCTCCAAATGTAAAGCTGACCAACAGTGACTTTACCTTACATTACATTACATTACATGGCATTTAGCTGACGCTTTTATCCAAAGCGACTTACAAGAAGTACCTTCTAATAAACATGTTTTTTATGGACAATTTTAGTGTGTAACGAGTTCAGAAACGTTCTAACTATTTTTTGTTGCCCAACATTCAGTGAATATTTGTATTTCTCATTTATTTTCTGTTGACAGATCTGCTGTTTAAGTGGCTGTGACAGACCTCACCTTTACCTCACCTACCTCTATTAAGCGTACCATTAGTACAAACATTTAAATTGGCTATAATTTGGTTTGATGGAAACGATGCATGTCTCAATAATGTCTTATCAGACACGGCATCTATTGCACGTCTGTCCGTCCTGGGAGAGGGATCCCTCCTCCGTTGATCTCCCTGGGGTTTCTCCCATTTTTCCCTTTAAACTGTGGGTTTTCTCCGGAGGTTTTTCCTTGTACGATTTGAGGGTCTAAGGACAGAGGGTGTCGTATTGTCATACTGATATTCTGTACAAACTGTGAAGTCCACTGAGACAAAAGTAACATTTGTGATATTGGGCTATATAAATAAACATTGATTGATTGATTGAAACCAGACATGTGAAACTAGACAGAACATCCTGAACTATTGAACTATGCACATTATGCATTCTAGAAGGTGCAAGCCAAGCATAACAGTTCCAACCACAGTTATAGGAAGGCGTTGTGGTTTTGACACCTTGACAACGGTTACAACGGTTGACAAAGGTAATGAGCACAGGATGCAGACGGACTACGTGAAGATTTGAACCAACTTCTTGGTACTTTTTTGTATTTACTTCAAGTGATTTTCAAAACATTAAGACACGTTAGATATGAGCAGTGATAAAGTACATTTGTGATGTTCTTGTTTTGTTTGAACAAACATTGTTCTAGTGAAACTCTGATATAATATCTCATGTTCATTATTTGACTTCATTGTGACGGCCGTTAGTTTTCTGTGTTCTCAGTAAATGTGATTCTTGCTACTGTAATAATCTGAGCTGTGAACTTAAAACTTGTTTTCTATTTCCTCATTAAACTTGTCAACATAAATAGACTCTGCGACTCATCATTACAAACGGTTTAATGTTTTACTATAACTTACAATAACTTTGCATTAGGTTTTTATGAATGGTCTTTATTTGAACTGCTGCTAGACAGAGTAAAAGAGGAAATTGTCCTTAGACCCTCACATCGGACAAGGAAAAACGGTACCACTTTACAATAAGACTACCCTTATAAAGGATTCATAAAGGGTTTATACTTAGGTTATGAATTAGTTTGTAAAAACTTTATTAATCATTAAGAACCATTTATAAACCAGTTCTAACATAGTTTTCATACATCACAACAGGCTCACTATTTGGCAAGATGACTTAGCCTTATATTGGCTACTTAGCGAGAATCAACTCGGTGAACAACAGATACCAAGGATGCTGGCTGATGAAGAAGAAGAAGTAAGCTAAGTAGCCAATATAACGCTTAGCAGTACAGATAAATGTGGGCTCACTATTTGGCAAGCAACCGGTCACATTTGCCTTGTGTAGGTCATGTTTTATAAAAGCTAATTCATGATTTATAAAGTGTTCACAACCTAATTAATAAATTAATTACAAACTATTCGTAAACCCTTTATAAGGGTAGTCTTATTGTAAAGTGGTACCGGAAAAAACTTCCAAAAAAGGAAAAAAACCCCACAGTTTAAAGGGGAAAATGGGAGAAACCTCAGGGAGAGCAACAGAGGAGGGATCCCTCTCCCAACACGGACAGACTTGCAATAGATGCCGTGTGTAAATCGAAAAGATAGTACATTTACAACATAGGTAGGCCAAATGTTTGCAAATGCATGTGTCTATAATAAGAAGATGAATCCATGAGGATGTCAACAATCCTGTGGGAGCCATCAGGGAAGTAGTATGATGAGAGTCAGGCAGGACCATAGTGATAGGTTCAGCCACAACTCGAAATCCAGGACTCAGATCAGGACTCAGGATCCAAGTGTAGATAGACACCAAAAAGAAATTTGGTGGAAGCTGGGTTAATCGGAACATGAGAATACACAGGTACAGACAGAGAAAAGGAAGAAGTAAGATGTCCCCCGACAAACTAAGCCTATATCAGCAAAACTAGGGGCTGAATCTAATCAGCCCTAACTATAAGCTTTATCAAAAAAGAAGGTCTTAAGCGCACTCTTAAAAACGGATAGGGTGTCTGCCGCCGAACACAAACTGGAAGCGTTACAATAATCCAGCCTTGAAGTAACAAATGCATGGACTAGTTTCTCTGCATCGTTTTGAGGCAAGATATGCCTGATTTTTGCTATGTTACGTAGATGAAAAAAGGCAGTCCTTGAGATTGATTTTATGTGGGCGTTAAAGGATAAATATAACACCAAGATTCCTTACAGTCTCACTGGAGGCCAAATTAATGCCATCCATAGTTAGTATATCTTTAGATAGTTTGTTTCGTAGAGTCTTTGGGCCGAGTACAATAACTTCAGTTTTGGCCGTGTTTAACATCAAAAAGTTTAAGGTCATCCACGTTTTTAAGTCCTTGAGACAGTCTTGAATTTTATTTAGATGATTGGTTTCATCAGGCTTGATGGATAAATATAGTTGAGTATCATCCTCATAACAATGAAAATGTACGGAGTGATTCCTTATAATATTGCCAAACGGAAGCATACATAATGTGAACAAAATAGGTCCAAGCACTGAGCCCTGTGGCACTCCATGACTGAAGTTGTGTTTTTTGTGCTCATGTTATACAGCTTGGTAACTGAGTTATTTAAGCCAATATCCACCAGTCGAATGCAATAGCAATGCTGGTTCGGAAGCAAAGGCGGTTAAAAAGCCTTAAGAAAAGGAATGGACAACGGAGCGCACGCGCTATGGCCATGTTTCGCCGTAAGATGGCTGTGGACGATGAGCGTTATCTAAGAACAAGAATGGTAAGTTCAGTAAATCACAATTATTAATACGATCTAATGTGGGATTTGTGGGGTAATGTAGAGCTAATGTAGGATTGTGTTTGTGCCTTTGTATGTGTTCCAGATATGCGAATACTAATTAACGCGTTGTGTCCCGCGCTCTCTCTGGGTGAACAACAGAACATCGGCCTGGTGGGAGACAGTGGTGCCAACATACACCGAATACTCATTATAAACTGTTTAATGTTTTATAATAACTTACAATAACTTTGCATTAGGTTTTTATGAATGGTCTTTATTTGAACTGCTGCTAGAAAGATTAAAAGATGACATTGGTGTTCAATCGGAATTTCATCTTGTTTCATCTTCATGTTAATTTTCAGTGAGCCTTTTTTATTTTACATTCATATTCTCTGTTTCTCTTGCTCATTACTGAATGTTTTTTATTCTGTTGGGGTTTTTCATTCCTGCATGTAGCCCTTAAAATGGTTTGGCTAAATTTCAAGCTAAATTACCTGCAAGATTAGTCTGGGGGCGGGGGGGGGGGGCGTCTCAGGGGAGGGTAGGACATAAAGGGGGGGACAAAACCATTGTGGTAGATGAGGGGAGGAGGGGTTCACACCTTCCTCCTGTTGTCCCTGAAGGTTTCACATTAGGCTTGTTTGAGACGAGCGAGTCTGACGCAGACCTGCCCAATTGTGATCGCAGTCTTGCGAGAGCGTTGCATGATGGTTAGTCAATTTGTCCGACTTGCTCTGGAGGCTCGCCTACATGAGACGTTGAAATCTCGCGGGACAAACACGCCCGCAGACTTGAGCGGCGAGGCAGCGCAGTTTCTCTCCACGGGCTGCGGAAGTGAAATGCTTGATGGGAAACGACTCGCTGGTATCTCGAGCTGAGCGGTCATTGGTGGTGTTTACCCCCGTGCTGCTGATGAAACTCTCCAATTGGCTCGGCAAAAGTTTGTTGTTGTTTTGTGTCAGTTTTACGTCGCCACTTCCTTTCACATTTTTCATCATTGTTCCACAATGTTTATCATGAAATTAATATCCATATATTTTATACTATACTTGCACTGCTTACCTTTTTCATACTTTATATATCTTAGCATATTCATACACACTGTTCATACTGCTCACAGGCTGCTGTGTATATCTAGTGTATTCATACCCCTCACTGTTTATTCATCATTCAATTCATTCTATATTTTATTCTGTAGATTGTGTACATTATTTTTCACTTTACTGCTTTTTGCAGTCCTAAACTGCATTTCGTTGTCTCAGTACCTGTAATCTGTGCAATACCAATACAGTTGAATCTAATCTTGAGCAGGAACAAATGTATTTACTTAGTACATATCTGACATTAACGACACAACACATTTGTGCATTATTTATAAATGCAAACCGAGTCAAGCCGACTCCGGAGGTGGCGGTATGCACCTTCAAGCTGTTTGCAATCTGCCAAAAAACCGAGAGAAGAAGGAAAAGACGAAGCTGACTCCGAGCTGTCCGACTTCAGGCAAGCTTTTTCAGACCTCCCCCGGCTGCGATCGGCTATTCTCGTCTACTTTCGAGGCGAGCCGCAGCTCGTCTCAAACAAGCCTATTAAGTCTAACGCAGCGTCCACACGGCGGCGTGCGTTGAAGCTTGCCGGCGGGCGTGTCTGAAACTTGACCAACAACCAATCACATAAATCTCCCGCCCCGGACACACAAGCACGCGGTTGATTGGCTAGAGCTTGTACTGGCATAGGATTTGATTGGCTGACGCTTCCGTCGAAGCTTCAAAAGTTGAACATTGCTCAACTTTTGAAGCGAGCAACACGAGCAAAGCGAAGCGACGCTCCCACAATGCAGTTCGGCAAAGCGTGACGTCACCCCATTAAAAGTGAATGGGCAGAAGCGTTGAAGCTTCAACGCACCCTGCCGTGTGGACGGGCCGTCAGAGGAGTCGTTACATAACAATTACTTCTAATTTACATTTCGAAATGTATGCTCCATACATATGAGACCCTCAGATCATACGTCTATCTCTCCCCAATGAGGGGAGGGTCTGCAGGAAGTGGGAGGGGTGTGAATGTGGGATATATTTAGGGTTAGAGCTAGAGAGCAAATTTGGTTAATTTCTTAGAAATTTGATTTTTCTGACTTTACCTTTTTCAGAATTCTGACTTTTAAAATCAGAAATGAGTTTTTCTCAGTATTTCAGAATTTCTTTTTTTTAATTACTGAACTCTTTTTTTTATTCTCAGTTTATATTTATTTTCAGAATGTTATATTGGTGTGAAGAGTGTGGGAAAACGTTCACTAGATCAGATAAACTCAAAACACATCATCCTATTCACACGGGAGAGAAACCATACTGGTGTGCAGAGTGTGGGAAAACCTTTTCTAGAGGTAGTAATCCATGAGTGCTCACAATGCAGCTCTGAGAGCCAAGCTAGCTGTTTCCTCCTCCTGATGTCCTGAGAGCTGTATTGTTATATTTTACGAGTCTTTATAAATCAATCAATCAATGTTTATTTATATAGCCCAATATCACAAATGTTACATTTGTCTCAGTGGACTTTACAGTTTGTACAAAATATCAGTATGACAATACGACACCCTCTGTCCTTAGACCCTCACATCGTACAAGGAAAAACTTCAGAAGAAAACCCACAGTTTAAAGGGAAAAATGGGAGAAACCTCAGGGAGAGCAACAGAGGAGGGATCCCTCTCCCAGGACGGACAGACGTGCAATAGATGCCGTGTGTAAATTGAAAAGATAATACATTTGCAACATAGGTAGTCCAAATGTTTGGAAATGCATGTGTGTATAATAGGAAGAAATCAAATAAATGAAAATCTGACCAACAGTTTTTCCTTTTCTAACCAGCATTCACACTATGCCAACACGAGGCCACAGAGATGCTGCTTCTCCTGATTTAATAAATGTTTGTAATGTACATTTGTAAAAAAAAAGAAGATATTTCAGTGAAAAATGCACAAAGGTGGTAAATATAATAATTAAAGAGCAAAAAAAAGAGTATGTATTTAGCCCAAAAAAAACTTAAAGCGTACACAATGGTAGCAGTCGAATACATTTAAAAAAATATATCACCAATAAACTTCCCCAGTTAA